TGGTTGGTTGTTGTGGTTGTTGTCGGGGTTGTTGTTGTGGTTGTGGTTGTGACTTGTGGTTACTGGTTGTCGGTAGTTGTTCGTTTGTTGCTTTGTTTGGTTTAGTTTCACTATATGTTTGTTGTTTTGTTTGTTTGTGCAATAGTTAGTCAGATTGAAGGTTTGTTTGCTTGCGTATTTGTTGTTTCTTGGTCTTGCTGCTTCTTGCTCCCGCTGCTGTTGTGGTTGTAGTTTCTCTTGATTGTTGTATTTGCATTTTTTTTGACGCTTTTCCTTTTGACGGCCCAGTCAGTTTTCTGCGCCGGCTTTGGCCCAAGGGCGATGAGCGGATTGCAGCAGCCGACAATCATTTCCAGCCGGCGTCTCAGGGCACAAGACATTCCCATGGGGGGTGATTGAAAGTTCGGGCCCTGTGTGTGTGGCTGGTTGGTGAAAGGAAACCATCTTTCCCGCATTTGGGAAACGCTAAGGCAGGAGTGCTGGCTTGCAGGCAAAAGTTGGGTTACGTATGGCAAACGTCGAGGACAACGCAGTGTTGGGACATGCTGTGCGTTTGATGAGTCTTCCTGTGTTTGAGTCCTCCTCATGTCTGAGGTCATTCTTTCAAAATACTAGTTTATTTGTTGCTGCAATTCCATGTCTTCACAATCTATTGGTCTGAAAAACACGTGCTGTAAATAAACGAGCAGTCAATATTCCGCTAAGAAGGGGAGAGCACAAGTCAGAACCTTAATCAAGCATATAATCTTGGATCATTACGAAAGGGCCAAGTTTTTATCGATGATGTTGCTTTCTTCGTAAAACACCTTCTGAAGTGTACTCTCCTGCAGGTCGACATGGAACCCAAAAACCACCTATGTGTAGAGGAATCTCCTCTGGGGGGACCCCTTGTTTTGGGTTCCATGTTAAGTTACAGGGGTGAGAGGCAGAACCCCGCTGGAATCTTCCTGTGGCACTTGTGTTTCAAGGACGCCTCTCATGTTCCACGTGGTTGGGAGGGATTTGTTGCCAAACCGTTGAAGGGAAGCATTTCGACCTCAGGGAGGTTCAACATTTGAAGCACCCGTCTTTATTTTTGGGCCGGTTGGGACTCTGGCCTAGCCTGAAGCTTTGCCCAACTCAATTTGTCAATCAGCCAGGGGTACATACAGCCAACACCGGTTTTGTGAAGGTGGGGGGGACGCATAGGTCACAAGCTCTTTACCCGTGGTGTTCAGCATTTGCAGCTAGTATTGGGTTGGAACACGGAGAGTCTTTAGATGTTTTGTATGTACCAGTGTCACCCAGCTCGAAGCATATGCTGCAGACCGTATTTGATCAATTCGGGGTGTGGACCGGCTTAGGCGCTGGGACAAGTAATAAGTATGGTTTCATCGTCGGTAAGGTTGGTTGGCTCTTCTGCCATCGAGAAGCATGGACTTGGAAGGCCCTTTCTGATAGATCAGATTCCTGATAGGAGATTAATTGCTTTTGGAAGGTGCCTTTTGGGCTCACTGAATCGCGCTGTACGCAACCGCGCAGATTCAGCTTGCCCTTTGCATTGGCCTTTGCAGATGTCATTTTCCACATTGCAGGACCCAAAATCCGGCATTTTGGAAGGTGGCTCTACTTGGTCTCATGGGGGTTACAAAAAATAAATCCGCTCAGGCGATATCCCCAACAGCACCCGGCCCTCGCAGAACCTCGTGGAGCCCTCGTGAAACCCTGGTGGAACCCTCGCGGAACCTTACCTTAGGGCCGCCCCGGACCACCCCGGAGCCTATCTGGGCTGAGACCCCAAAGCTTTCAGCTGCTGGGGAAAAAGGTTTAAAAATAAAAAGTATTGTTTCTATGGCCATTTTGGTGTATGGCCATTTTGGTAGAATCACTCACGGGTTTTGTGCTTCGCTCCTGCGTTTTCCAAGAGTAACATTGTTTTCCGCTGCAAGTTGGCAATAGGGAATGCGGTGGTGGCAGCAGGCGACAACCTGTTCACTCCGCTGAGCCACGTAATGTTGCCTAGAGGGGTGCATACCCCGGGGCTATGCCGGGACTGCTGAAAGCTGCCGCCGCGCCAACTTGAAGCCCTTGCGCCGGAACCGCCAGTGGCGCGGTGGGATCATTTTTGATGCGCGTTCCGCCTGACTGAAGCCGTGGGGCAGTCATAGCCAGAGTCAGGTTGGGGGAGCGCCCGCAAATGTTGAAAGGCGACGCTAAACCTCGACCATTTCACTTTGCTACTCCAATAGTTTACCCACCAAACGTTGGGCTCGATCGGTGCCTCTGAAAAGCTGAAGGCGGTGAGCTGTTCATTCTCAATGGCTGCACAGGCTGGGAGCAACTTCGTTTTGGTCCAAGGGTCGCCGCGTCCAAAAGCAAACCAGACTAAATGCAGACGGCCCTATGTTCACGTGAGGTTTGGTCGGCATGGCAATCGAAGCTGAGTGCTTCAAGGTGCTTCTCAGGGATCACAAACAGCTTTCCCTCTAAAAACCACCAAACGGGGACCCCGATTTTGTGGGTCTCTCCGTTTGGTGCTCGCGGGACCTTTCAGATGGCCATGGCCCATGAACCGGAACAAGACCCTTGGGTTTTGGGAATGAACCAGAATGCAATCCCCAAGGCAAGCAGCTGGATGGTTCGGGGTCAAGGGACCCCACCGATTTCAAACCGATCACATCGAAAGCCATACAGTTTTGGGCCGGACCGGCGGAAGGGCCTCACTGGCATGTGTCAAGGTTGCTATCATACTATCTGCAAAAAGGCATGCCGCAATCAAAACCTGGGTAGAGGAGAGAGTTGGGGACTGTCCCAACCAGAAACAGATACGCATCTCCGGCCTTTGGATCATACCAAGTTTGGTTGTGACTCACATGCACCTCTGAAAGGCCCAGCATGATATATATATATATACATAATATGATTATGATATATATATATATATATATATGTTCCAGGCTTCCTTGGGCCCCCCCCCCACCCCCCCACCCCCCCCCCCCCAATGGTCATGCTCGTTCCCCCCCGGCCCCCCTGTGGGAATGGGGGTTTGGGGAGAATGGTAGCACAGTGTGACCGCAAAGCCCCCCGCGACCATGGTTCCCACACCGCCCGCTGGGGGCTATAATAGGGAGCAAGCAAAGTGCGTTTGCCACTGGCGCGTTGCAGCGCACTTGGCTAGCACTTGGTTGCAGCGCTGCAAACCACAAACTGCGTCGTGGCATCGCGCACTGTCAATTGCGACAGCGCTGCAACTTGTCGCGTGCTGCAAAATGAGCAAATCGCATTGCAGCGCAACACACGAACAGCGCCGAAAACGCGCCCGCAACGTCGTGCGCACACTGGAGCAAGCCGCCCCACAAGCCCCCCCCCCCTGTGGGGGTGGGGGTGGGGGTGGGGGGGGGCCAGGGTCCCCCCCCCCCCTGGATGGACCCCATACCATTGGGGGGGGGGCTGGGGACGACGGGCGACGGGAACATATATATATATATATATATGTATATATTTGTTTTATGTTGGGGCAACCACACAGGTCCAAGTGGGAAAATCCCTTGAGCGTGGTTGCAACTGGTTCGCTGGGCTGGAGTGCAAGATGCGGGTGTGTTGCTATTTCCGGTGTTCACGGATGAGTCTTTGGAAGTTGTCTCGTTGTTTTTCGAGAAACTTGCAGCGAGAACCTGCGCAGAGAAACTTGTATCGAAAAGTTGCGCGAGACACTCACATCGATAAGTTACGCAGACAAATTTGCATAGAGAACTTTCAGCGGGCAACTTGCACGGAGAACTTGCGCAAAGCACCTGGGCGCGGCCGCCTTTGGCTGGGTGGCTTCTTGTGTGGGGCCCTGTTTGATCTGGCTTTAAAGGGAAACCAAAAGGCAGCCCCCGCTTCTGGGGTCCTCCCATTTAGATAGCGCGCTTCTGGATGTAACAAGGGCGCCTGGTGGAAGCAAAAAGGAATGTTGATGCGCACTTCCAGGTTGGTGTTGGAGTATCCTCGTGCAAGGCCATGTAGCTGTGGGTCAAAAATGGGTACCCAAAATGAAAACCTGGCAGATGGAAACAGAGACTAAACCCTGTGGTCCCTGTCGGCTAATGCTGACCCATACCCATGTCCCCACGCACATCCAAATGGTGCGAGCCACAACAGGCATGCGCAGGGGGATCGGCCCGATCGGCAGGTGGGGAGCTCCAGCCGATGCCTTTCTTCAGGAACAAGGCGGGCGCGGGTTGGGTCGCAATGGATCATGGCGAGCCGAACACGTGTTGTGAGTAGCCGCTTGAAGATGTGTTGTGTTTTTTCCTGTCCAGCAGCTCAGCAGGCAAGTTGTTCATGCCCGTTTGGCTGGGTTTGTTGACCGCACGTGCCGTTTAGAAGCCAGTCGCCAAGTTGGCCTTTTTTGAGGTTGGCAAGCCGTCCTCGACTGAGATTCCTTTGTTGACCCAACCGACATAGGAGCATCCCATAGCACGAGATGCTTGAACATTGGAAGCTGCTGATTCGGTCAGATGGTTGCTCAGCACTAGTCCATCATTTGCGTGGAAACAGGTTACTTGATGCCAAGGCTGAAGACGTGCTGGTTGTATTTGCAAAGCCTGCGACCAGCTTGTGAGATTTGTTTCCTCTCACCTGCCTCCTGAAAATTCCCTGAAGCGTAATGCCCCTTTGTTTTCCTGTTTTGAATAAAGGCCCTCACAGGTGATCGAATTGAAAGCAGGATGGTGAAGGGAAGGTACCCCGCCCTACCCGAAATGAAAGTGCACAGGCACGACTTCAAAACGGGTTTGTGCGCTTGCATGCATTTGGCCATGGGTCAAAATCCAAGTCGTACCAGTGAACATCAACCAATCCCCACTAAAATAGGCTCTAAAATGGGTGGCGAATTCACCTACCCCAAAATGGGATCCCATTGGTTTTGACCCATAGCCATTTGCCAACGTGGACCGCACGCAGAATCTGCGGGTGCTCTCAGCCAACTTAGACCGCGCTTACGTGGCGACCGAGCCGCCGGGGGCCACAAAGTCTGGGAAGGGGTTCGAAGGACTTGGGGAAAGCGCAGGGGTCCCTATATTTTTCGTTTTGGTTTGACACATCGCCGTTCTGGTCCCCATTTGATGGGTGAGTTTCCCTTAGGGGGGAGATTTTGATGGGTGAGTTTCCCTTAGGGGGGAGATGTTCTAAGGGGAAATATAGGAAGCCCTGAAGCGGAAACCTTGTCGGATTGGAATCAATAAGAACAGACCCCACTGCCTCACCCTTGCTTCTGCTGTTTGCCAGCTTTTGCCAGCCCCTCCTGCTTAAGCAAGGGTATTCTGAGATATTGTAGCTTAGTGTATTGTGTTTGAAAGCTGCATTGTAATTCTGCCTGCTTGTTGGCAAGGAAACACAGCTTCAGCATCCCTGCTTTCTGGAGACTGCCTTTCATTGCGGAATGTTAAATTTGAGAGCATAGTTTCCTCCATGTGTTGCAGCAGTTGCTTTGTTGCCTGAGCAGGTTCTTTCACAGTAATTTCCGTGTCAGAAAAAGCAAACAAAGGAGTCAATCCATAGATCATGAGACGGCATGCCTAGCATCGTTCACCAGAGCCACATGTTCCGTTCTACTCACTGTTGCGTGCGGCGAAGGGATCGGTTGGCTGGATGTGGATGCTGCCACTACCAAGAAGACAAGTAGAGACCACAAACTGTACATTTTCAAGTATATTATCTTTTTGTTTTGTCTTGTGGGGGACCTCAAGGGACAGCTGAGATGAAAATCAGCTTGGGCTGGGGGAACAAAACACCAAACCCGGATAAACCCTTTGGAGACCTGCTACCAGTCCCAGCTAAACGCAGGTTGCGTTAGGCGCATTTGAAGGGCAATTTGTTGTCTGAGCCCACTCGAGCGAGTGAGCGCTGGAAAGCAGTGGACACCTGGCCATGAGCCCAACGGTTGTTGAAGCAAACAACGTGTCAAACAACCAGGAGGGCCCGCTTTTCGACTGCAGCCGCAGAATTCCCCCGCATGGTTGCGCATAAACTGGGTTTGCAGAGCCACTTTTCTTGATACCAAGAGAATCCCCTTCAAAGTGGTACAATAGTCATGGGAATGGCCAACACTGACATTTGTGGGTTGGGTTGGGTCTTGAAGGGCGGGTTTTGGCGCCTGGCCGTGTTTCCCCCGGCCCCGGGTTCCACGTCCCGATCCGTTTAGGACCATTTGGTCCAGTCCCCTGGGTGAGCTTCCGCCCTGCTCCGCCGGGGCGCCCGTGGCGCCAACGGTTGAGGCTCTCTGAGACGCGAGGCAGTCCAAAAGTTGGGGCGTGTCTTTGGTTTAGTTGGATTTGAAGGCAAACCAAAAAAGGACATGGACAATATGGACAATCATTTTTTTCGGGGTTCCCTGGTTTTGAGACACAACCATATTACGCTAAAGGACAGGGGGTTGGTCAAAATAACCTGATTTGTCTATGGTTCGTTTGGGAGTGGGGGACATGGGAGGTCATCAAGAAATGCGGTGGTGTGTCCTTGTGCATTCAGACGTAGGACATGTGTTGAGAGTCATGAGGATGGTTCACATGTGCCACCCCACATGTGGCATTCAGATTCAACGAGGGCAGCAAACCCGGCATGTTGAAGTTTGGTTCTGATGTGGCCAAGCTGTTCTCAGGGCTTTGTGCACGGGGCGCAACATAAGCGCCGGTTTTAATGGAGAGCTTAGCCTGAAGGTTCAGGGGTCCTAATAAAGTTCTCTTCTTGGGGAGATTTAAAGAATACCTTTGGGGCTTAAATGGTCTCCTTTTGGAAGGGTGATGTCTGAAGGACGTTTCAGGACCCCTGAGGGTTCGGGCGCTTGCCGTAGCTAAGAGCCAAGTTGGCAAACTGACCGCAGATTTAGAAGCCTCGACTAAGAATGGGTGCTGTCCATCGCACAGTACTTACTGGAGGCCCCTGGTAGAGGAAATCGGCCTTGCAAGTTACCTCCCACAGAAGCTATGCTTCTGTTTAAGGCCGAATGGGACGTGAATCCTTGAGAGTCCTCATGTTTTTGCGATATTGTTTCGCCTTGCCTCCTTGGAAGGATTGTGCATCGGCAGTATTCCAATTTTTGGTATTCACCCCAGGTAGACTTGAGCCCAGGGGTTCCCCTTTGAGGGACAAATCAACAAACCCTGAGTTAAAGTCTTCCTTGAGGTAAGCAGCAAATTGGAAGATCGGTGTCCGTCACCCAAGTCCTGAGGTGTTCTGCTTCAAGGCAGACCTTTGTGAGCCGGAGTACTGCCCCGAGTTCGAGTCCATCGAGGCGCTTCTTCTCTCCTGCATGCCTTTTTCCAAATTTTGAGGGGAAACCTCAAAGCGAGCCCAGTAGGGTTTAGGCATACAGTTGTTGACTAGCCAGCTTTCCAAAATGTGTGGAATACGGACCACCCCCATTTGGAAGACATGCAAATTGCGGTCGCCAGATGCGAATGGCTGCCCTTTGGAGATGGCCGACGGTTTGACCCTTCGGGCTTCCGAATGGACATCCGCGGCTCTTGGGCATGCTTTCAACGGATAGGGGTGTGTGTCAAAATAGGTGGCTTTCCTTGAGTTTCCCTCTAGGCTAAAGCAACAATAAACAAGGTACCCTACACACCCTTACAGTGGCCAGTGGATGGACGAAATCCATTTCGCACCACTTTGAAACCATGGTTGAAATCACTGTTTGTTGGTATTTACGGGCGAATCGCATCATTCCGTGGTTGCTTGGGTGCCTAAGAGGATTTCGCCCATCGAATCCACGGTAGGTGTTCTCTTTGTTAGAGTCTCCAAGTTCAATCACGGCCTTGGCCGCAAGTTTTCCAGGCGCCGATTCGGCAGATCGCCTTCGGTAGCAGCCACACGCGGCGCCGCCATGCTTTCTGGGCACCGGGCCGCGGATGTCGCGCCTTCTTTGGGATAGCGCTTTTCCCAGAACGTGCGTTCTAGCCATGTATCCCTATCCCGGGGAACATGAAAGGCCATGTTCCGGGCTCGTTTAAGAACGCCAGAGAACGGCTTGAAGCGTTTGGAATCTGGCAAGCTTTCTCTGACTTGAGTGCGTGGACCCTTTCTAAATGGTTGGTTTCCTTGTGCTGTTCTTTTTAACATGGGCCCACAAGTGTGCCTAGATATGGCGCAGAGCTTTGGCTTGTGCCTGAGGGAAGGTCACTGCATCAAGAGGGAGCCACTCCTTGGGAAGCGAAGAACGCTGAGACAGGATGAAGCCCTTTTTGGAGGACTAGGGGCTGTCCCGAGGAAATGCTTCACTTGGGGAGACATCTTCCCGGTAGGTTGAAACAAGTTCGGGTCGACATTGATGTGGCCACACAATTTAGTTGAGAACCACCTCAAGGTTGGTTGGAGATATAAACCGAACAGAATGACGTCCCAAGGGTCCCTATTAAACTTAATGCCCATAATTTATGTATATATATATATAGACATGCAGACATACAGGCACACGAGCATACAGGCACACAGTCACAGGCAGATGTAGAGACTGCGAAACAAGAGGCAGATGTGTGCTTTGTTTTCTCCATTTGCATTCTGAGTCAGACATACATAACCAGGCATCCATAGTATAGATACCCACAAAACATACGTGTCGCCCACAAGGGTATGCTGTATGATCCTGCTGGCAGGTGCTGGCAGGTTTAGGGTTCTTAGGGTTTGGGTTTAGGGTTTTTGGGGTTTTGGTTTAAGGCTTTTAGGGTTAGGTTTAGGGTTTTACGGTAAGGTTTAGGTTTTGGGTTGTTAGGGCTTAGGTTTAGGGGTTTCAGGGTTTAGGTTTTCAGGGTTTTTAGAGCTTAGGTTTAGGGTTTTTAGGGTTTAGGTTTAGGGTGTTTAGGGTTTACCGGTGCATCCGAGGCTGGCTTGTCTGGTTTAGGTTAAGGGTTGTAGCAGTATAGAACCGGGAAAAGTCGCCGGGTTCCATGAAGGGGGTATGGGGGGCCTCGGGGGCTCGGAAGTGCGTTTTTGCTGCGCCTGCCACGCTTTTTGGAGGTCTCGGGGACCCGCTTCCGGGCGGTCGCGGGCAACACATACGCTTTGGCCGTTTAGATACATATGCATGCAGACGTACGTATTCCCATACACATCATACATTTTACATGTAACATCACACAGACACATAGGTTCAGGCACATTTACTGTACTGTGGCATGTAAACTCATACAAGACGTATTAGCGTAAGCATGCATGATAAAAACCTATTTATAGGCACTGCACGTTGTGATCACAATGCCCAATTCCACTAATGTCACTTAAGGTGTGTATGGCAAGAACACCTCGGGCGGGGACGGCCATGTTGCGTGGAGCACTGACCTTTCTTGCGACGTCTGGATTTTGAACAATCAACATAGGGAACCTGGCACCAAGTGAGATTCGATATGGTTGAGGAGAGAGTCACCCATTCGCACAGATTGGCATTCGCAATTCTGACATGTTGGCCATGTTGCAAATCACATTTCGCGTATTTGGAGGATCTCCTCGTGAATCAAGTATGGGGATGTATCTTTTGCGCACTCCTGCCATCCTCGCGAGTCGTGCCAGGCTTGTTCTCACCACAGAGGGCTCGGCAGCCAAGAGACGCGTAGGAAATGAACCCAGCAAAGACCACTCAACAACAAAACAACAACAAAAACACAACAAACACAACAAACCCCTACAAAACCAACAAAACCAACAACGCGACATGAACCCAACAAAACCCTCGCCTGCAGAGGAATCTCCGTTTTGGGGCTTTTATGTGAGTTGCAGGAGCTGAATAAAATCGCTCAGTTCGGTTCAAATGACAAATTTTGGGGTTCCCTTCAAAATTTGTGGCTGGACAGAAGCCACCAAAGCAATGTCGTTTTCAATCGCATTTCATTCCTTCAAGCTGGGAGCTATTTTGATTGCCGGCTGAACATTATCCTTTTGGCCAACATCATGATGTACAGCATGAGCAGCAGCTGTGCTTTCTCTTGGCTGCTTTTCGCCTTGATTTGAGCCGGAGCCCTTCAAGCTAGTTGGTCCGTTGGGGATTCAAGCTGGCCATCCTACCTGAGTTGGTCTGTTTGAGGGCGCATGCTACGCGTGTCTTTGGCGCAGGGACTCGGACACGGGTTCATTGCCAGCATAGCGGCGTTTATGGACATGGGATTCCGTGTGAGGGTTCTGGTTTCGGTCTTTGCGAACCTTTATGGGGTTCATGAAAACAAATGGGATCCCCTAAGTTGCCTGTTACGGTGTCCCTTTGGGTGTCCCTCGAAATACCAACCAGAAGAACCTCCATTTCTATCCATTTCTTCCATTTGATGACGAATATGTTGTCAATTGTCCCTTGTTGGTTTGTCGGTTTTAAAGGGCATGTGAATCACTACTAGAAATACGTGTTTTGTTGTCCTTTTCCGTTTTTTTTTTTTTTTTTTTTTTTTCTCGGGGGGCTTAACCAAATGGAAGATGTGCAGCGAGGAGTGCTCTACAGCCGCGGCGTGGCCATGTACGGTAGCACTGGCCATGGGGGAGCCCGAGATGCCGGGGATCACGGAAGGGAAAAGGGGTAGGTGGCGGTAGCGATAGAAGCGATACATCTATGTACCTGGAGTCTCCATGAGCCTTTAAAAGTGGGTCCATGACCCCATTAGTTTGGGTAATGACCCCATTTATTAAGGGTCATGGAGACTCCAGGTAAATACAAACAATATTATTGAACCATGGAAGTTGGCAAAGTGGTTGATGTGGGCAGTTGTTTTCGTTGACTATCTTTTCTGACTGCGCCTGTTTTATCCTGGCTCAGGGCGAATCTGGCAAATCGCTACCGGCGTACCGGGAGATCGAAGGAGTCCTATCTCACCCTCCTTTTTGTGAGCGGTTTTTACGTGTTGTGTGGTTTGTTCGGTATCCTCTCTGGCTATTTAGCATTTCACTGATCGAATGGCTGCCGCTACTGTTTTGCTGTAGACTTGCCATTTCAAGACTAGGCCCGGATCTTGAAGTAGCCGTTGACGACTCTTTGGCAAAGATGGTGCTGCTTCGGCTTGGGCTTGCTCGCTTGCTTGTGCGCGTGCGTGTGTGGGTTGTTACACTTAAAACCCTATGTGAAGTATGGCATCGCCGCTTCATCTACCAAGTATCGTGATCAAGACGAGACGGTGTCAAATTGAGGCAACCTTTGGACTGGTCTGCTTGGCTTGGATTGTTTGCCTTCTGTCTCTAGTGTTATCATCCAAATTGAGGTCTGGATGTTCACAAACTCATATTCACGCATCCAAATGAAAGCAGGACGTGTTTGTTCTGGGCTCCATTTCCACGTGTCACGTCAGTTTAGTCGGGTTTCCTTTCAAGAAATGTTGGTGCCATGCCCTCAAACGACATGGGCGATCCCCAACCACCGAGCCCGAAAAAAAGAGTGACCACGGCGTATTTGCACGGCATGGGCATGCCCTTGGAACGGACAGAAACGGATCTTGGAGGATTGATCCAAAGATTTATCCGCACTCCCCTTGTCACGGACCAACTAGGAACTAACAGCAGAACGGCAGAACCTAGTCTTGGAGGATTGATCCAAAGACTTTCACTCTCCCCTTGTCATGGACCAGCAAACAACACCTGATCTTGTGTGGCAACGAACTTATTCAAAGACATTCAGATCGCATGTCGCGAGGTGCCGGAGTTCACGGAAGTGCCGGCTCTGAAGGGGCGCGAGGTGCGACGTGGTTGGCGTTGCGCTGCTTTTTTTGGGCGCCCCAAAAGCACAGCGTCAAATTGACAGCTTGCTGGAAGACTAGGGTTCCAACGCGAGTTTCCAGGGAGCACACGCTATGGATTGGCAAAATCTGCTTCACACCAGTGGTAGGTGTCTCCAATTGTTCGTTGGGTTTCATCTATCCCAACTGGTGCAGGACTTGTCCATCTACGTAGAGTAATGACTGCAGGTGGTGCACTTATCCACAGGATTCCGTATACGTGGATTGGAAGGAATACTTCTACCACATCTCAGTGCAGGATCCGACCTTGCCAACAGCTGAAGTACAGGACATGATCTTTAGTTAGGTTGGTTTGGTTGGTTTTAGCAAACACAAACAAACACAAACAAACACAAACAAACAAACAAACAAATAAACAATCAAACAAGCAAGCAAGCAAGCAAGCAAGCAAGCAAACATACAAACAAACAAACAAACAAACAAGCAAGCAAGCAAGCAAAGAAAGAAACAACACACAACCAGCCAACCGACCAACCAACCAGCAAACAAAAAAATAAACAGCCAATCAACCAAGCAAACATTCAACCAACAGATCGTTCAACCATTCAAGCAATACACCCATCAATGAGCATTCAATCAGGCAATCAGACCACTACTTGGCTTGTGTTCGTAGCTTCTCTAGCACAGGTTGCTTGTGTCTGGTCCCAACTCAAATTTGGTGTCTTCCATGGTCTTTTGTCTAACACCTGGCACAAAGTTAGGTCGGACATGGCTATGCCAGGTTCGCTTCGTGGCCGCGGGGCCCTTCTACTCCATTGCCATCACGGCCCAGGTGCCCTGACAGTTGGCTTCTGTGTGACGCTGCGATGGAGGGAGCGCTGGTTTTGGGATCATTTTGAGGTTCCTTGCTGATATTGGCATAGGTAAGCCTAGGGGCGTTTTCTCCAACTTCACGGTTGTTTTTCAGTTGTTCAGTGGCGAGCCCCTTTTCCGCGGTTGTTGGTTCTGCGATATGGCCAACAAATAAAGGGCCCAAGTGCAAGAAGGAATTGCGGGAAGCTCGACACTATCCAAAAGAGCTACATGAACCGATGAATCATTCGAGGATCAACTGATGCAGGAATGTGTGCCAGTGGAGGCTCTCGTGAGGGCACCCATTTTGGTGTCATAGTCTGACGAAGAGGGGATTCTCCATCTTCCATTTTGATCCATTTTGTGGTTCGAACCTCGTTCTGTTGGTTTTTCAACGGCAATAAATCAGGACCAAAACCACTTGCGGACTTGCGGTGGTTTCCTTCTGAATGAAACGCGCCTTGGTGGACATGGGATTTCTGCAACCAGCCAGGTGGATTTTCCCCGTTTTTGGATTCCAAGCCCCGGGCTTTTGACCACCCCGGCCAGCCGCTGGACAGGGATCCGCTGGTTTTCTGGAAAGGGATCCGCTGGTTTTCGGGAAGCCAGCGGCGGTTTTTTTGGTGCACCGACGGTCCGGCAGCGCAGGGCGACGTGTACTCCTGGGGCAAGGCGTTCTATGGAGAGACGGGGCTCTTCTCCCAGGCCGGGGGCCAGGAAAGCAAGCTTTTTGGGGGATGGTTTCCCTACTAAAATAGACTACAGAAGAAACTTGGGTAATTGCCTTATTCTAACCTCTCTGCTGGAGGCCCTAGGGGAGTTGTAGCTGAGCTCCGTGGGTGCTGAACGACCAGTCCAAAGACGTGGATTGGTTCTACGACCCCATGGCTCCCGTATCAAAGCCGTGTTTTCCCAGGATAGGCCCGTTCAGTCACAATGGCTTCATGTAGGCAATATTTGCAAGCTAAAGTGAGTAATAATGATGAACATGGAGCCGTCAACGAGTCCGATAGGGACGATAGGGTTTCTAGCCCGCTGTGTCAGGTTTCGTTTGTATGATATGCATAGATCCCTAGGGCAGCCAATTGCTTTTGTCTGTGGGAGTTTGTTCCCTGCAAAGCTTCTGATTGGCACCTGTTGGATTCCAAGAAAAGTTTAGTTGAGCGCTGTATGCGTGTGGTCGTGTGGCCGACTGGGTGGCCGACCAGTTGACTGGGTAGCTGGACCGCTGGCTAGCTGGCTGGGCTACGTGGCAAGCTAGTGGCTTGGATCTTTGGGCTTGTAACAAGATATATCGGCGCATAAATTTTCTCCGCTTGGCCTTCAGCGCCAGGTGGAAGCAGTTCCGCGCTTCTCGTCGCAGGCGTTGGGTCTCAAGGGTCTCAGAGTGGGGGGGGGGGGGGGGGAGATTTGGGTTCACCGATGACTTTGTCCGGGTCGCTTCTACTGTCGGTTGCTCGTCTAGCAGCCTAGCACCCAGAAGCTTTAGACCAGTCAAAACGGGTGTCTCCCCCCTGTTTGGCCAACGAATTGGCTCGCCCTGTTCAGAAGGTGTATATGTGCAAAGAACAGCTGGATATACTCGCCATATGCTAGACACACTCAGACAAATTGACACCGCTAGTTGAAATATGATGGGTATTAGCTTGACATGTCGTGTCTAGTCAAGACATATTTTATACGAGGACAACACACCAGCCACATGCTAGGACTGTGCAAGGTCTGCTGCAATGACATATACATTTTTAATGGACATATCTATATATGATATATATATATATATATATATATATTAATATATATATATATATATTATGTGTCAGTCTGCTGTTTGGCAAATGCTGCGATAGATGTGCTAAAGGGTGATGCTGCACGCATGCGAGACATGGGCTAGGAATATGATAGACAGACATTGGCCGAACAACATAGACACAAGGGTAGATACTCGGGTCCTTTGGTTTGCCTTTTCCAAGGACCAAGTTGTTATCCTTGCGAACGCGTTGGGTTAGATGTGTGTTAGACATGTTAGAATCACGCTCGAAACAATCTGGTCATGCACTATACATTGGCTGCATATTCCTTTCAAGATGCACACGCATGATGTTCTTTAAAACTGGACATGCTCTGGGTGGTACCTTTCTGGCCTGTTTGTGAGAGAGACCGACGGGAAACCAACCACATTGGGGAAGTCCATTGGGAGATACTGATGGGCGAAATTCATTTTGCACCAGTTGAGATAGATGAAGCCCTATGGGATGATACACCACCCATCCTGGGTGCCTGTGGATCTTGTATCCATCCACACTCCAAAAGCCTAGAGCTTGCGCTGCGTCAGGTGACGCCCTTCAAGGTCACACAGGTGCCGAAGGGTGCCGTGTAGCAGGTGGGTGTTTCCAAAAATAAAACCAGGGCCCCTGAAATAGCCGGTTTCCTGTTGTTTCCCTTTTGAAGACCGTCCCAACAAGGTTCGCCTTTTTGAGAAATCCTTAGGTCAACCATCTGGGCAAAGGAGCCCCAGCTCATCTCATGCAGGAGGGGCCTTTACAAGGGGTTCCCTTGTTCCTTCCTTTGTATGGCGGATCAATCTAAAGGTTCGTGTGGACGCCAGACAGTTTTAGTTATCCACTGGTAGTGGTTGGAGAGGCAACCCCGTGTATAAATAGATAAGAAAATAGATAAATAGATAAATAGCGCATATACGTTACACATATATATATATATATTATATATATAATATACATATTAACTGTAGATGATTCTTCCTCGTCAAGACTTGCGTCACATCTTACATTCCCTCACACTCACCGGACAGGTGCTTGGATTTGGAAAGAGCAAGACATTCGGTTGCGGGGATTTGTGAGGATGGCGTTGGTGGGCATTTGGTTAGCCAAACCAACAACACGGCGGAACCGGTCCGATACCAAGCTGTGCCAAATGGCGCAGCAAGTTGTCGATGTGGGTGTGGGTCAAAATTAAACCACCAGGGGACCGCAGGTTTTGGTCCATGTTGCTACTTACCAGGGTTACCTATTTTTGACCTGTTGCATTGGTTTCTCGAGGGACGGTGTGCAGGTGATGTGACTTGTAGGGCCAGTGTTGTCTTTGACTCTGGTTGTAAGAGTTTAGGATTCTCATAGGCAACTGAACATGTGCGGCGGGAAACAGTCATCGACATCCAATGCTGTGTCGGGAACTGCTCAAGCACTCTGAGGCCATCGTATTTGAGGCATGTCTGGGTTTCAATGTCAACGCATAACTTTTCAAGGAAACCACACATGATGTGCTGCTTAGTTCTGTTTTCAACCGTCCCTTTTCACACCCCAATGCGTGTCTTGCTGGGGTCTGCCAGCAGTGGAAGCCCAGGATGAATAAAACCCATGCTTTTGGGGGAACCCCCCTTCATTCGTCCATAGTCCAGGGTCAATATTATCCTGTATCCCCAAACCACTCTCAGACAAAGACAGGGCTATATACCCAATATCCATGTAACAGAGCGATACACATCAGGCTTTAGCCAACACCCCATTCAAACACGCTGGAACATCTTTCGAAAAACCTCTGTTTGTTTCCCTGTTGAAGGCGGCCAGGGCTTGTTTCTTCAAACAAATTTTGCCCGCCCTGGTGCCCCATTTTCGTTCAACCCTGGTATATGCTGAAACCACTACCCTGAGGCAAAAATGAGTATGTATACACATATCGCTATTATATTTGTTTTTTCATAATACACATGAAGTGCGCTCAGAATTTACGGCAAGGCAAAGCAGTCTAGGCTCGGACATCCATGTAGCTTAAAGTGCTTGACACCACAAAGACTTGACGATCGTTTGAATACAACATCAACCGCTGAACAATGATGGGGGACTATCCAAATTCGAACGTACATGCCATGAACAGCAAAATTTGACGGAACTTCATAAAGAAATCACCCTCAGAAAGAAAAAACAAACCCACACACCCACAAATAGCTCACTCTGTGTGTGTGGGGCTGCATGACAGCTGAGGGGGGGCGTCCCCCATTTTCGCTTGGGGTTCCCGTTGAGCTCCATGGACTCAGGTGAGCTGCGGGCATAGCCACGTGCTGGCGCGCACGCAGATGCAGCAGTGCATCTCCTGGGGCGCCGGGCTTGGCCTACTTTGATGCATCTTGCTTGGATGTTAGGAATTTAACTTTTTGCCAACTAATGGGTTTTCCATTAAGCCACTAAAAGTTAAACTTTTAGCAGGGGAGCAGCAAGCAACGAGCCTAGAGGACTGTCCAAAATCCACCCGCTGGAGAGAGGGTATGGCCTCTTGGTGCTAAATACTTAGCCCATGTCTTTTTGAAAGACTTACCCAAAAGTTGTCAAGTTTTTGCCAACTTGACCAAACAAGTTGTCAAGTTTTTGCCAGACACCCTATTTAGCACCCAGTTGATTCTTTCTGTTTTGCAGGGGTTTGTTTTCCAGACTTCCTTTTGGGGTCCTTTAAGCCATGGTGCATAGGGTTTGAGGGCTACCGAAAGGGTGATGTTCCACAACCATGCCTGAAACCGAAGTGTGGCCACCGGAGTTTTGAAGTTTCCGGACGGGATACGGATGAAAAGTTTGCCCCGCTGCCATCTGCTGCCATGTGTCCAGTTCCGGTATCTGGCAACAACATGTTTTTTTCACCCAGCTCACTTTGTGCGGAAGCATCCACAGTAGGCCCGTGCAGGCCCCAATTAATGCCAAGTAACCTTCCGAGGCGAGAACACCTGCGGGCAGCTAGGCGCGATGGCGCTTGCTCGCAGGAAGAGTCTAGTCCAACGAATGATATGATTACAAGTATGTAGGCGTTTAGGGGCTGGTGCAATATACATCGCACCGATGCATCATTACATATATCAACCCATTTTTTCTGCAAGCATGTATATATATATATAATATACATATGTACATGAATACATACATGTATATATATATATATATATATGTATAGCTACAGGTTTGTATGTACATCATACTCACGCACATATACATACACGCCTAGGCAACATGTCTGCCACCCCCAAACCTTGGTTCTGGCATGGAGTTGCAGGCTGCCAGTAGCAGCCTGCTACTGGAGCACGGGGAGCCTTCCATGAATATCGACATGTGTATGTATTTCTATATATATATATATAACAAAATCAGGGAGGCAAAAAGGCAGAACACACTGGACACAAAAACGGCTCAAGCTCACCAAACCAGGGTCCATTGGGGGGGGTACCATATATATATATATACACGGTATTCCACATTCTTGCCTTTCTTGGCAACCCCTTCGCAAGTGCCCTCACGCACATCTTCACGAATACTGACAGCTGCCTTTCTGGGCGAGGCCTAGATTCAGACATTCAAATGCCCAAATCCCGGGTTTGGACATACTGTGGATGGACAAAATCCTGCACCAAGTTAAAACCATGGGAAACCATTGTTTGTTGGTATTTGCAAAGGAATAACCATTCCATGGTTTCTTAGGTGGTGCAGGTTTTGGTCCATCCACAGTAGGATGGCACGAAGGTTTCTCAAAATCTGCTGAAACTTGTCTCGGGACTCGGTCGCAGGCCATGGTGGAAACTCCCCTTATGGTGAGGGTGTTTGAACTGTGCGAAGATCCTGCGGGCATGATTGCCAGGCATGGATTTGCCACATCCAAAAATCCGCTGGGTATATGACAACATCTGGATCCCGGAATGTAGATTTGGAAAAAGAAAACGTCTATCCATGCCTCAAAGTTCCCCAACATTGAATCATTGAATGTAAGGCCCAAACCCCTGGATCCGGATATTTCCGCAACGGATGCGGTGCTCTCTATCTGAATGCTGAGAATTACAAGTAAGAGAAACGACACGGGGCTTGTGCTGTTGAAAGGAAGGAAAAAAGGGAGGAATACCCGGACATCCGCCACACCAGGAGTTGGACGGGCCTATCATGTGTATGTACAATGTACATACTATATATATATATGGGCACATGTATACACGTAGCGGTACAGTTACCTATGCAGATAGATACATACATATGGCGTCACATGTACATTGTACGTGTAAGTTGGATTTTCGGTCAACAGATAGTCAGCCCACGGATTGTCACACAGTGAGTCTTGTGAGCAATTGGCGGAAAGCCAGTCAGTGACAAGAATGAATTGCAATGTCCAAGAGCCGGATTGCTGATGACCGCACAGTTTGTGAACAGCATTACTATTACTTTGTATATACATATCCGCGCTATTCAACATCCAGCCCTGGAGCATTGAGAGTGTTTTCCAATACACACGCATGTCCCAGCGCGTTTCTGTGCTTGTTTGTGTAGCTGCATGTGTGTGCGCCTCCATACCTGCGCGTGCTGGCGTCCGCTTCATCCTCTGCCAAAAACGCGTTTTTCTCTCTTTCTTTCTTTTTCTTTTCTCTCTCTCTCTCTCTCTCTCTCTTTTCTTTCTGTTTGAGCCAGGCGCTGCCCAAAGGGGACCCCTCTCCAGTCGCCTTGGTGCCCCGTTTTGCGTCGGGAAGAGCGGCCCATCCGACGAGTTGGCGTCGTCGCATAAGTCGAAGGCCTGGGGCAGAAGTCAAAGCCCACCTACAAGCCGCAGCTGCTGAGCAGCATCCCCTCGCAGGCAGCCGTTGCTTGATTGGTTGCGTCTGGGCATGGAGGATAGATTTTTGCGTGTTTTGTTTCGGAGCAGAACCTTGTTAGTGAGGTTTTGAAGGGGCTGTGGTTGTTTGTTTCTTCTGAATTTGGGGTGTTGCGTTTTTGGTCCAGACAGTATAAGGACCTCACCTGGGGCTGAAATCGATCTCGCCCTGCAATCCTCTACTATGACTATGGGATCCTGTTTTGCCGGTGTTTGTGGATGGTTTTGAACATCGCCTTTCGGGCCAAGCGAAAGTGAGCTGCCTGTGGATGAGGTGATGATTAAAATGTTGGAGGAACGAGCAACGAGGGAACTCCATCTAGCCATCTAAAGGGCAGAGGACGCAGAGCTTAAGTAGCAATGGCATGGCTTACGGAAGCTTGTAGAAGCTTTCCTGTGACTCGTGGTGCCCCTACACATTCTCCCAACCCCAGGCTTGTTTCATTTTAGTGTCCCCAAAGAGTGTCACAAAAAAGGGGTGGGATGCGTGGTGTGTTTTGGGCTCGGTTGTGGCGCGCCATGGCCATCTGACCAAGTCACCAGCTGTGACCACCAGACCGCTTTTGTTTCCTTCGGTTCCGGGCCTGAAACATGTTGCCCGTAGGCAAAGCGGTCTGGATTCTGAAAGGGATCCGTAAAAAATGTGGGCTGGATTTCGATGATTTCGGTTGCGTGCCCAGGCGAACTTGCTTGCTGGGGTACCCTGCAGACGCCCCATACCCCTCCCTCGTAGTCATTGGTGGCATGCTAAGGGTTTTCGGCAATGTTGAAGCTTTTGTTCGTCGAATACCTGCATCGTGTATTGTTGCAGCAACATGCTCAAGACATGCTTGCCAACTGTCGCAAGCACGTCTACGAGAATCGAGCAAAGTCATTGCGAAAGGTTTATTTCTACTGATTGGTGGTCCTAAATGCATTCTCGCGTGGGTCGTCAAGAACGCACTCACACTTTTGCCAGGGGTTGTAGGACTGTGCATCATGAGTTCGCCTGAGACTCTGCATGTCACGCATATGAACCGATGAAGTTGTTGGACTTGTTGGACAGAATATAGCTGGGGCTTGTTGACCACGGATTGACATATTATGATGAGCACCGTGCATAGATTCTTTCGACATGCCCTTGTTTCTACGCGTACAGGCAACATAACTTGATGGACACGGGCGTGCAGCACTGTTGTGTTGTGATTGATCCTGGAGCGGATTTCTTCAGGAGAATTGGCATAGGAACAGGCAACCCGCATCGATTTCGTGATGTGTCGAACGCAAACAGGTACGTATTTGCCATCTGAAGGGGTTCAACGAGTCTTCTCTCCACACATCTTCCACGGCCTTGGAATTCGAGCTGATTATTTTTGCGAATGCCAGTTTCAGCGAGTCCGTTGCTTTGACAGAAGGGTTTTTTCCTTTTCGTGTTTTTGCGCCGGTCCCTTGCGAAGTGTTGGCTTGATTGGCAGTTACACTCCAACCTCCAAGCATCCTTATCAGTCCTTATCTCATGGGGATTGGGCAGGGGGGGGGCGGGAGCCTAAATATGATAAATATGCAAATAAGCCCTCCACCCCTGCTCCCTCCCCAGCCCAGGCATCAGCACATGTAATGCCATGACCTCGCCAGATTCAGACGGTCTCCGCGGGCTGGGTGATGATCCCAGCCATGGGATGTGGAAGTTGTAGCGAGCTCACGCGGTGAAACGACCCATGAAGGACGTTTCCATTTAACCCGCAAAAAGTTAAACTTTTAGCAGGGGATCTGAGGACCCCAGCTCCAGTTTGGGATTTGTAGATATTTTGTTCAGATGTGATTGTTGTTTTGTTTGATTTGGAGATAGATTTGACGGCGACATAGCAGTTCCATACCATTCCACGCTTTATTGTTGTTGCCTTAAAGAGTGACTTGATTTGGTCTTGCCTGTGCTTTATTATCTGCAATAAGCATGTTGAATCTAGAGTTTTGCGTTATTAAATTTATGCCGTGCGATACTGTCCTGGGGAACATTTGTAGAGCCATTCTGGCGGTTGCTCATGTCATTATGCTTGTCACATGAGGTGTTTGTCCCACTGTGGAGTGAGCCCGCTCTTAATCAAAGGTCCTTTTCGCTTGACTTCTGACATGGATGAAACCATTTTTGCGAAAACTGCTTCTACTTATAATTGAAAACACGCAATTGCACATAGTTCGTCGGATGTATTTTGCCGGGCACATGTTTGGCTGGACATGTAAGACTGCCATGTGGCTGCTGAACTCTGACGTGGTCGGGTCTGCCCAGCCACACTGGCAGTCCGTCGCTTTGATGTTGGATCAGCTCTTATACTCTTTTGATATGTTGATGTAGACAGGCCACACATGTACCATTTGATTGATCGCCAAACACATGCCCTGTACACACGCAATCTTGCTTCCAGCATGTTCCCTTCAATCCAAGTAATATAGAATGATCGTTTCACCCTTGATCTGTGTTTGCTAATTCGCAACAGGCTTCAATCTGAGCCTGCCGTGGCGTTTGTTTGGAGAAGGCAACGGGTTGGGCAAAGGCAAAGCAGCTTGATCTGACTGGTGTAGAAAACAATCAGCTCTTCCCCGGATGATCAAGAGTGGTTAAGCCGTCTGCCATCCTTGGTCACGCCCGTGGTGCGTTTTGAAAATTCAAGAATACACCGGTGGACGGGAACACGACAGCGACCTGGGCTTGATGGGTGCATGCCACTGAAATGGTTGGGCAGCCACTTAGAATTCCCCTTTGGGGAAATATATAGGATGTTTGAGATGTCAGTTTGCCAAGATCAGTTGCAAGATTGGTTGCGACCAGAGCCTGGTACCGATTTTATGAGACGGAACTATTGTTTCCGGGTCCCTTAAAGTAGACATATGTGCCACAATCAAAACCCGGGTAGATGAAGGCTAGCAAGGGACAATCCCAACCATAAATAGCTGCAGCCGTCTTCTTAATTATTTACATGGTTCTGGGTCGACCATTTTTAATTTCCGGGTTTTGATTATGACCCATAATTTCCGGCTTCTCAAAATAACTCTACGTGGGGTCCATTAGAATGAGCTTGTTTTAGTACCGTGTTTTGATTATGACCCATGGGCTTCTCAAAATGACGGGTGGGTTTGGGTACATTAGAAGGGCCTCAGTTTGGTCGAGGCTCACTCGGTGGCCGTGGGCACTGATGGCCGCCCCGGCCTCGAGAAGTGGCTGGCATGGGGCTGGGTTTAAAGCGGCCTCGAGAAGTGGTGCCGAGTGTCAGCCCCTTTGGGTCTGCAGATTGATCCCGTCTAACACCCGTCTAACAGAGTCTAACACCCTACCCTTTAGCCGTTTGACCGTTTGACCTCCTCATTTTGCAGGCAACCTGTGATGTGTTTGGCTTTGACGTGACATGTGTGTGTGTGTATGTGTAAGGACTCTACTGTTGGAGGACCACTGGCCCAAAGCAGAGTTTCCAGATATTATGCCCCGCTTCAAGCATTTATGCCACTCACAACCAGGCTAGGTTGGGAACAAGGTCGTTCACTACTCGCTAAGTGGCCTGCAACACAACATGATGCCTACGAGAAAGTGGTTGGATACATTGAGCACATGAAGGTGCCTGACGCAACCCGACGAAGGAACACCATGGTACGATCGGGTAAGAACATAATGTTTACATGCCAAGATACGACCATACCGTCGAATGTTGTCTACAGGAAATTGGCCTATCCAGGGAAAAGAAAACACACAAGTCCAAAAGGACACAGTGCCTTGTATTCAACATTGAGATGAGAGACTTTCTGAAGTGAAATAAGATGAGACAGAACTAGATGAGATAGTTCACCCTGGTGGAAACCGCAACCTGTCACTCGTTGGCATGGTTTGGAGGTACGATCGGGGCCAGCCCAGCTGAACCCCTAGCGCCCAGACCCCATGGGCCATTTTCCAGAAGGGCCCGGCATGGGGGTTGCGTTTGTGAAATACCTGAAACTCAGAACAACGATTGTTCTAGAACCGGGATTGCTTGGGATTAATAGCAAGGCCTATGTGTCAAAATATAACCATCTTACTAGAACCAAGATGGGTTGTGGCACTGCTGGCCTGAACAATGGCTATCATTTGCTATCCAGTTGCTCTATATAAATATAGATACGTATATACACCCCCCCACTCACCCACAGAGTGCCTGCAGGTCGGCCGACTGGCGCAGCATTATGTGTTTCGGGTTTCGGGTTGTGATGGTTGGGGCTGCTTTAGGGTTTCAATCTGGGGGTTTGGTTTCGGGTTACGTTTGGGGCTCAGGTTTAGTGTTGAGGTTTAGGGTTGCGTTTCGGACTTTTGTTTGAAGTATAGGTTTTGGCTTGGGAATACATGTAGGGCTTTAGGTTTAGGCTTTAGAGTTCAAGTAGGGCCAGTAGGGTTCAGGTTTAAAGTTTAGGCTTTAGGGTTTAGGTTTCGGGTTAGGTTGCGGGTTTATCTTGTAGGAATTTGGGTCTTCCTGGCTGTTCTTTTTTGCGGTCAAACTCCCGTATTTGCCCGTATTTGCCCGTATGGCCATGTTTTTTTTCCGGTCATTTGTGTAAATCACCCGCATGAAACACATATTTGTTCGACATGTTGTTGAACAAAAACACGTAAAACATCGTATGGCCATTTTTTTCGGCCAAAGACGTATGACCTTAACAAAAACAACAGCCATATGGGGTCCCAGGTTGGGTTTAGGTTTAGAGTTTAGGGGTTTTGGGTGTAGGCTGCCGAACCCGTAGCATTTCCTGTGGGTTAGATCGTGCAGTGACACGATCTATGCATAAGGTCGACTGCGCAATTCAAGCAGCAGCATGTCACCCGCACGACCCAGGCAGAGGGTCGAACACAAGTAGCACTTCCAAAAGCTTTGTGCACGCGGAATCCGCCCAATCCACGCAAAGGGTCGCCTGGGCGTTGATTGGGGCGCAGGCAACCCAAAGGGGATGACCGCAATATACACAAATATACATAGATAGTCAATCGGTCTTGCTTGCCACATTCACTTGTAAGCAGAGCAAACGTGGACCGTGGGTGCTAGCCACATCCGCTTGCAAAAAGTGCAGTTATGAACCGGGGGCGTAGGTTTGAAAAGTGCTTCGTCCTTTGTTCATGAGAGCAAATGTTATGTTTACTTTTTGAGAATAAGAATGTCGGCTCCTCTCGAATTGGTCTAAGGACGTGAATGAGATGAACAAACAAGCGCAAGTTGACCATGATGGGGAGGTGTCCATGTTTATCAAGATGTGTTGCTTGTGTGGGGCGATTAAAAAGGTGGCGACCATCCGTGGAGTTGTTTCAAGACATGACAACCCATTGGATTTACAGGCGGGCGCTCATGTGGGTTTGTCTTGAGACACTTGGCTTCCTTCTGCTCTACCTTTAAAGCCAACCAGAAAGGAGTTCCCCCTTAAAGCCGCCGGCTTTTGAACAAAAAGAAAAACGTTGTCGGAGTAGAGTCCTTCCCGTGGTGTGAACCCGATGCTTCCTTGTGATCTAGCATATACCGGTTCCACCTCCATTTGCATTAGCTACTGGCAGGGTTGGGCCAACCACTGCAAGGGAGTACCTCCATTTGCATTAGCAACTGGCAGGGTTGGGCCAACCACTGCAAGGGAGTTCCAAGTCGAGGAAACGGCGTCGCTTCTCACATAGGTGAGCCAAGCGCTGGACCGGGTTTGTGTGACCTTGTTTTAAGCATGTTTCAACGCTTACTGCTGTGAGATCCTCCTTTTGTTCCGGCTTAAAATGTGGCCATGGTGTGTTTGTTTCAACAACATTTGCCCAGCTCTGGCTGGTCCAGTGACCCAGGCGCGTATTCCTGGGGCCTCAACTCCCATGGCCAGCTTGGTTTGGGCGATACCACCACGAGGAGGGGCCGCGAAGCGGGGCCGGCGGGGATGCGGCGGGTTTTGGATGCTTTGCTCGGCAACACCTTTTTTTGTTGTTTTTCTTGCTGTTGTGTTGTCACATGTTTGATAGGACTGCTTAATCCAGGAATTCTTTCTCGCGATGTGGTATGCTGTTTGCCCGTGATTGCTCACTTGATGTCTGGTGGCTCTTTTTTTTGAATTGAATGCAGCCTTGCTCAGTCTGCGCCCAATTTTCAACAAGATTGTCCTTCTTGACAAATTCGCTAAAGGCTGTGTAGAATGTCAATATTGAGGATGTCGTGTGGCTGACGGTTTTAGTTTTTACCTGTACAATCGGAACAAAGGTATGACATGTATTGGTGTTGGGGGAAGCCGCTTTTGTCTTGTTTCTAAATGCTTCCCCTAAGGAAAACGATCCATGGAGACATTGAAGGGTCCCCAGAGGAAATTGTTCTCCCAGGTTCCTGTTTTGACTCGGTCTGGAGGCAATGCCATTGTGCAAGCCACTTCAACAAGTTGGAACCCTCACAATGACTCAGTTGTTGTGGTTTGTTTTTCCATTTAGTGGAAAAACAAACATGCTCTTTTAGTGGTTTCCCCCCATGGTCTTCGCATCTAAAGGACCTTTTAATCACCCCCCCCCATTTTCAGTTTATTATAATATTATATATTATTGTTATTGTTGTTATTATTACTATTATTATGTTTTATGTGTTTTTACATTTTATTATATATATATACACTTGTGTTTTTTTTTGTGTTTTTTGTTGTTGTTTTTTTTTGGAGGGTCCAACTTTTGAGACCGACGCCTCAGGCTGGCGCCGCACTTGTTGCACGACCTGATCAACGTGCACGAGGCCTGCGGGTGAACCGCAGCCGTTGGGAAGTTCGGCGTGCTTCGGTTTGGAAATTGACAAACCTGGAGTCTCCATGACCCTTAAAAAATGGCGTCATTGCCCAAAACAATGGGGTCATGGACCCATTTTTAAACGGTCATAGAGACTCCAGGTACCCAAACAGGGGATACCCAAGGAGATGCCAAGGAGGGCTCGAAAAGGGTTCTACTTTAATTTGCAGAGTGGCTGACTTTCTCAGTTCCGGACTTGGAACTTTTTCGGGAAGATTGTCTTCAACGAAACGTCTAGACTTGTTCTGACCTATCAGGAGGCCAGTTAAACGCCCCGCGGATGTATTCGGGTTTGTCCAAGAATACGGGACACCCTGTAAGGTTTAAAGGAAACTACGAGAAAACCGACTTGCAGCGGCCTCACACGGGGTTTGGGTTTGTGACCAAAAGCCCATGACGCAGATTCGCTTTTCGTGGCACGGGCCGCGAATTGAGATCGGAACGGGCCACATTGGCGCGTGTAAGTTTAGGGAGGCAGGCCTCAGACCGAACTAGCTGCGGGATCTCTGCCTAGAGTCTCCATAGCCCTTACAAAATGGGTCCATGACCCCATTATTTTGGGTAATGACCAACCATTTGTAAAGGGTCATGGAGACTCCAGGTACCTGTGAAGCTGTTATCTTGTTTTCCTCGGCACTGGCAACTCCCTTCCCAAAGCTTGCCTCTCTGCCAAGTTGCAAGAGACCTCTGAGACTCCACTGGAAGTTTTGGGCTTCCACATCAGTTGTTTTTTTTAGGAGATGTGAGAAAAGTGTTATTCGTCGATGGTTGACATGCCGGATACAAAGCCAACTTTGCCCCCATACCAGGATCATACAGATACCCAGCTGCCCTCAACAGAGACATTGATCTATTCAAAGCACATGTCCTTTCACTCAGGTGATGGACTTTCTCCAATTGAACCATGCCCATGTCCGATGTAAATGCAACTCCTGTGGCTGTCGTGTGCCTTTGCTTTCAGCCACTTCTTCCAATGAGGTATGGCGGCATCATGAATTGCCAACCGAAGTAGCTTCGAGAACACTTTCAGACAGGACCGTGGAAGCTTTTCCTATTTCCGCGGCCTCTACAAAAAATGATTGCCCAAAACCCGCAACTTGGCAAAGCCTCCAAGTGCAACCACTTCAAAAAACAAAAAAGGATTGTCCAAACCCATGACTTTGCGAAGCCCTCAAGCCACTTTGAGTGCCCCAGTCAGCCCACCTCCCACCCGCACCCAGTGGGCCGGCTATACTATGGTCGGGCCAGGTTGTCGCCTGCCAAGCGGCGCGGGCCTTCACTATGTTCCGCACCGCCCAGCGGGCGCTGATGTGCGGCCAGGCAATCCGACGTGGCGATCCGACTGAGAGAGCGCGGCCATTTTTCTAGCGAAAACGCCCCGAAAGGTTGGGACAATTCAGGGGGTCTCGACATCTTGAAGTGAAGCTTTTGAGGCTTCTCAGCTTCTTTTGTGTTGCAGGCGGTTTCCCTTCAAATCACTATTCGGAGGGTACATTTTGTGGATGCCACCTTCCTGGAACCGCCTTCCTTGCTAGATTGGGGAACCACCTGATCACGATGAGTCCTGTCCAGGTTTCTTGGACGTGGGGCATGCGGGATCTGTCGCATGCGTCGCCAGATCCCGCCGGACCCTGCCGGACAGCCCATGGATTTCGCCCCGCACCGGCCGGGGCACCACGACCCCCCGGGCTGCATCTTGGCACCTGCCGCGCCCTCGGCGTACCTTTGAGGCGCGGTTTCACGGGCTGCCGAAGTCAAACAAAGGTCTACAATCCAGCAACCAAGAAGCGACTGAGTTTCAAGAAGCGACTGTGTTTCAAGAAGCGACTCAGTTTTTTTTCCCGAAAGCATGGCGAAGGGTTCTTCCGCTGGGTTCACTTGAGTTGTTCTCATGAGAGTCATTACAAGGTGTCATTGCAAGGAATCATCAGTCATGAAGGAGTCAAGGAGTCATTGCAAGGAGTCATTGCAAGGAGTCATTGCAAGGAGTCATTGCAAGGAGTCATTGCAAGGAGTCATTGCAAGGAGTCATTGCAAGGAGTCATTGCAAGGAGTCATTGCAAGGAGTCATTGCAAGGAGTCATTGCAAGGAGTCATTGCAAGGAGTCATTGCAAGGAGTCATTGCAGTCAGGAGTCATTGCAAGGAGTCATTGCAAGGAGTCATTGCAAGGAGTCATTGCAAGGAGTCATTGCAGTCAGTCATTGCAAGGAGTCATTGCAAGGAGTCATTGCAAGGAGTCATTGCAAGGAGTCATTGCAAGGAGTCATTGCAAGGAGTCATTGCAAGGAGTCATTGCAAGGAGTCAAAGAGTCATTGCGAAGAGTCAGTTGCAAGGAGTCATGAGAGTCATTGCGAGCTGCGCAATGGAGTCAAGTGCAAGTGCAAGTGCAAGGAGTCAAGTGCAAGTTGCAAGTGCAGGAGTCAGGAGTGCAAGTTGCAAGTGCAAGGAGTCAAGTGCAATTGACTTGCGAGGAGTTAAAATCTCTTCTTAGGGCGGCGGGGTAGTGCCGACGACACTACACGAAAATCGACCCTCTGCGGGGATCGGCGTGGTCGAGGTGCAAAAACCCATGGTTTTTTGCGATTTCTGCGGTGCTCGCGCGACCCTCTGCGGGGATCGGCGTGGTCGAGGTGCAAAAACCCATGGTTTTTTGCGATTTCTAAAGTTCCCGCGCGACCCTCTGCGGGGATCGGCGTGGTCGAGGTGCAAAAACCCATGGTTTTTTGCGATTTCCAACATGCCCGCGCGACCCTCTGCGGGGATCGGCGTGGTCGAGGTGCAAAAACCCATGGTTTTTTGCGATTTCTGCATGCCCGCGCGACCCTCTGCGGGGATCGGCGTGGTCGAGGTGCAAAAACCCATGGTTTTTTGCGATTTCTGCGGTGCCCGCGCAACCCTCTGCGGATCGGCGTGGTCAAGGTTTTGCGAGGTTTTTTGCGATTTCTGCGGTGCTCGCGCAACCCTCTGCGGGAATCGGCGTGGTCGAGGTGCAAAAACTCGAGGTTTTTTGCGACTTTTGTTGTTCGAACTGGTCCTCGGGAGTTGTCTCGTGGTTCGCGCGCCTGCTCCCGGAACCGGCGGGTCGCGGGTTCGATTCCTCCCTGGTCCGCGGGCGGGCGTCGCAAGATGCAACTTGCATTTTAAAGCAACTTGCGCAGAGCAACTTGCGCAGAGCAAGTTGCACAGAGCAACTTGCGCAGACCAACTTGCACCGACCAGTTTGCGCAGAGCGCCTTGCCTAGAGCAACTTGCGCAGAGCAACTTACGCAGAGCAACTTGCACAGAGCAACTTGCACAGAGCAGCTTGCACAGAGCAACTTGCAGGGAGCGCAATTTGCACAGAGCAACTTGCAGGGAGCCACTTGCAGGGACCAACTTGCCGGAGCAACTTGCGCGGAGCAACTTGCGCAGAGCAACTTGCACAGTGCAACTTGCGTAGAGCAACTTGCGCAGACCAACTTGCACCGACCAGTTTGCGCAGAGCACCTTGCCTGGTGCTGTCTCGCGCTTGCTTCACAAATGCTTCGTGTAGGGATGCAGCGTTGGGCCGACCTCGCTTGCGATGTTCTGCTTTCGGGCCAACCGTGGTCTAGTTTTCTCGGCCAAACATGTTGCAATGGGATGTCTGTCAACCAGCCAGTGAGTGCATGTGTGTGTGTATATTATCTCTGTGGGTCTGTGTGTGTGTGTCTCTGTGTCTGCGTCTCTGTGTCTGTGTCAGTGTCTGTGTCTGTTTTTGTGTGTGGGGTCGGTAGCCCTAGTCAAGTGCCTCAAGCGGAGTCACCGTGCATGCATTAACAGCTCGCAACTTGTAGTTTGGAGGACGGGTCAGCAGAGTTCTTGGCCCAAGGTCTGACTTGGGATCCGTGGTACTGCAGTCCTGGTCGTGTTTTGTGAGCCCCTTATTTCCTGGGCTGGCGAAGTTCTGTGAGTGATGCAGCCATGATGGAAACTCGGAAAGGGATGATTTTCAGCATGGCCAAAGAATGCGACACAATTCCTGCGTAGTCTTGGGGATGGCCCACTTTGGCAGCATAGCAACTGTGATTTTTCCCAAACCATTGCCAGTTCATCCAA